AAAGGAACCCCGCCTCCTCCTTTTTTAATATACAGTATTAGTAAAAACTAATGTAAACTAAACCAGAAGAAATAATAATAATAAACAGTTCAGAAGGTGCAGAAAAATGTACAAGGGATAATAAAAAGGCAATAATGACAATAATAAATGGCTTCCAACTTTCATCACAGTGAACATATCTAATATAATTATACAATAATATAATACATTGTCCAACTCTTCTCCCTATAGCCTAACTTTTATCCATATACAAGCCATCTTTTCAATCCTAGGTCAACGGAAAGTCCATTAGGAGTCACAAAAATGTCAACCAAATAATTTATATTCCTTCTTTTTATAGTATTACATCTTCATTTATTTTTTCTCTTTCCCATAAAACTCACATTTAAAAAAATATTTTGCCAGAAAAGGTATATTTCTGTATAGAATTCATTCTAAAATGTGATTCTTTGTTGATTTTTTAAAGGTGAGAACAGCATCACAATTTACAGATACACACATGCGAGGAATAGCTTGATCTGATCAGAATTTTAGTTCAGAAAAAGAGAAATTTGAATCAACTTAACCATTTGAATCTTCTTAACAATGTTGCTTGGGCAAAAATGTTCCCTATCTTTTGCATCTCTTTAGCTGACTCTCTTGTTTTTCTCTAGGCCTATGGAAACATCTCTCAATTAGTATCAAGTTCAAGTAAATTCCCTGGCTGTTTCTTTGGAGGAAATAGAGCTTCCCAGCTGACTAACAGAGAGAGCGGCTGACAACTGCAAATATCCATGGAGCATTTCTAGCCTGAAATAAGTCTAGAGTGCTGGAAACAGAGCAATGAGAGGTTACCTATCTTAGCTCTGACCTTGGGCCTAGTAGGAGGGAATGGGACACAAGGAAGGTTCCCTGTAATGAAAGCCACATCAGATGCTAAGTGTGAAGCCAGAGATTTTCATCCGTGTCCTAACATCCATGACTTACAGAAACCAGCTGGGTCAGGCTCTATCCAAGCACTGTTCATTGGCTCCAAAATACAAACGCAACACGTTCCATTAAGACCGCCAGAGCATTCCTGACTGAAGGGTATGTCCTTGCCATGCTATTTAAAGGCATGCATGCTACCCTTTATTTGTCCATATATGTTGGTTGAAAGAGACTTGATCTTTGTACTTCACTCAGAGAAGACAAGAATTGGCTACTCAGAGGGGAAGCTTCTATCCTTGACCATATCTTTATCTTCCCTCCTATTGCCATTTTCAAACTGCTGAGAAATATACAGCATTGCACAGCTGAATTAGCATCATACTCATAGATTAAGCCACTAAAATGTACGGACTGCCATACTTTGAGTCCTAGTGCCATGCCACTTAAAATACTGTGAATTCTACTGCTGCCCTCCTAAATTATCTTCAGTCCATTCCCAACTCCCACTGTGTCTTCTCTCGGTCTTCCAGGTTGGAGTCAAGACAGCTGCTAGCTGATGAAGTAGCTTGAACTTTTCCAGATGGCTTTCCCTCTCTTTCAGCAGCCTTCTTCCAGTTGGTGCTTCAACCTACTGCTCAATACTGAAGAAGGGAAATCAAACCTAATCTGGCTGAGGAGTGACATTTTTCAAAGTCAAGATTGGCGGTTCCCTGCCTGAGAAAATAGTTCTGAAAGAGTGGGTTAGATTAGATGATTGCTAGTTTGTTCCCTGGCTTCTCATCAAAAGGTTTCCCGTCAGTCCCACTATCAGTATGATTTGTTCTTTCAAAAGCATCCGTATTTTTCCTAGCATGTAGCTTCTGATTGATCTGGTTTCCCATAACTATCTTGAGACTTGGTGGTTTAGTGAGATAATAAACCGGTGCTTGGTCTATACCACCTCAGTCCAGAGGATGGTATTTACATGGCTGCACAATTCTCACACCAAAATGAATAATCTTGTGGTAGAAAAATGCAACCAGCGGGAAGAAAATCAGACTATGCAACCACTTTCTTCCTAACATGCTGGCTTTCTGGTGTAACTGCTTTGTTTTTTTAGGGTGGAATATTCTGCCACACGCTTTCCCACTTGCAATTTATAAAATGGTATGGCCCAGACACAAATGAGCTACTCCCCCAATGTGAGCATATTCATGGCTTACACCAGGGGTTCCTAACCTGGGGTGCTCGCACCCCCTGGGGGTGCGAGACGATATTCCAGGGGGTGCGAGAAAAGTCCAGGTAAATAATAGGATATTGGCTCTATGTTGGAATTTTTATTTATTATTTATTTCAGGGGGTGCGAGGTTTGAGTGAAATGTCTTTAGGGGTGCGGGGCGAAAAAAATGTTGGGAACCACTGGCTTACACGGATGCAATTCATGGATATTTATCATTTGATCATTCTATTTACTTTGTACTTAATATTGGTACTCAAAAAGTATTAAATCCCCAAAGTGTTGACTAGACATTCTTGAATCTGTGGTTCAAAGCTTCGGAAGGGCACTAGCTTGGGGATGACTGCTTATGTAGCCCTAGGTAGAGACCAAGCCAACTTCAACTGAAACATGTAATGTGGTGTGACAGTAGAAAAAGCAGGTGTGTGTGTGTGCGCGCGCGCATGTGCAAACAGATGCATGCAAGAAATCTGAATGCAAATGGTCCGTAATGACAAATGGACACAATAACTTAAACCCTTTCTTAGCTGCCCTTGTACTGAAACAAATATGAGATTCTGGTGTCACTTACACTTTGGCAGATCTGCCGTTGCCTGCTGCAGGCCTCAGAATTGCACATGCCTATCAAACCATGGCCCAAGTATCTTTTTGACATTGGAAGCAGTAGACTTATCCTTGAAACTGGCATATAATATCAAGTATGTCACAAATGGCAACTCATCATTCAGGTTGACAGTTGATATGGTCAGACTGTCCTCCTAGATTGGCATTTGCATCTCAAAAGGGAACTCGACCCTTCCTTATTATGATACTGTCTAAAGGCAGCTCAGGACAATCCATTTCTGATATGTAGATCCAGCATGGTCTATGCAGTGAAACACAATTTTGGCAGATACAGTATATGGCCTTTGGTGATGAAATTCCCTACAGGTGGAAGAGAATGGGGTATGCAACCAACTCTACACTCACCTGTGCCTAATCATCTTTATGTGAAAATACCCACATATGCACTTTCTGTGCTTCCCAACCCTCCCACCTCACCCGTCCCAAAATACTAGTTTCTCTGCCACTATCCTGAAACTTGGTACCACAACTCCAAGAGCCATGCTATCTGAGGATGATGGGAACTAGATAAGATGATATGAGAAAATGAAAAAAGAGAAGATGAGATGAAGGGAAGGGAAGAGGGGAGAAAAGAAGAGAAGAGTTATTGTCACTTTTCTCTGTACATCATGGCACACATTAAAATAAAATTCTGATGCCCACTCTCAAAGGAATACACATACACACACATCCATTACATGTGCATACACACATACATACACTGTAGAAGTACAGAGAGAGAGAGAGAGAGAGAGAGAAACACACACAGTGTCTGTCTGTCTGTCTGTCTGTCTGTCTGTCTGTCTCTCTCTCTGTGTGTGTGAATGAACTGTAGTCCAATTCATGTAGAGGGCATGAAATCGTGAAAGGTATGATTGTATCTTCAGTCTTCCAGTGTAAACAAGTAAGATACCATTGCCAACTGTTCAAACTATTCTGAAAACAATGTACTAGAACGATTCGTCATAAAGTCCAGCATTGGGAAACAAGACAGTAAATATTAACTGTTGCTTAAGGTAAAGGGATAGATTGCCACTTCCAATCTTGCCTGGTATGCTTAAGAGACAAATGGGGGAAGTAAGCCACCTGGTGGTAAATGAGCTGCATAACAACGAAAAGTAAGAAGACACATATTCAGACAAGAAACATGCATTGACATCTGAACAGTTTGAAAAGCATATTTAAGCCGAGAATCAATACTGTTTGTTTATTTCTTTCACAGTCAATGGAATGCAAATACACCATGGTTATAAATATAACGAGCCTGAAATAGGAATTTCTGGTCTCATTCTTTTTGATGTTCAATTTTTGGACCCTAAGACAAGTTCACAGCAGTTCAGACAATTGGTTTTGGTAGTAAATGAATCTAGCAATACCGTAGGAAGTTTCCACCAATTATAAGATGTGTGCAAGGCCATTTCTCACCCGTGTAAGCACATCAACTCTAATGTACAAGTTATATTGCCACAATAATTCAGGTTATTAACTCTAAAGTTGAGAATTGGCCCAAACAACCTTACTTGTTGCATAGTTGACAAACAAAGCAGCAGCTATTTAGAAAATTTAAATACTACAGTTTTTAAAAAAAAAAAAAAACAAGGAAAGGGGATTTGGGGTTACAAGATCTTTTCTTGGCCTTTATACTACAAACCTCTCACATTACGAAGCGTCTACTGCATCTGCATTGGGATGTACAACGACAAAATCCAGCGATGTGTTAAGTCAGTTAAAACATAATGTTACCCATTCATTTTATTCTCCATCTCACATAAAACGTATGTCAAAGAGCAAACCCATGCATTTTTCAGGAGCTACACTTGAAGAGATCTAGTTACATTTTGAAACACTGCAAGCTGTCTTATCCGTCGCACCCAGAAGCATTAAAACTTGAATATTTCACATCATCCTGAGCCTTCAGATCAGTTTATGAGCTGATTCCAAAAGTAGTTTGATGTGATTACAGGTACATGGATATGGGAGGATAAGCATAGTCTCTGATGGAGGGCAGTGAAAAATTGCACTATGCCTCAAGTTAATCTCACAGACGCAACTCCCCTTTATTGTACATTCTGATTTCACTGGAGATCAATCCCTGGAGCTGCAATTCTTCCCCTTATTTTTAGTGTATAGTTTTTGAAGGGGGGGGAATATTTTAATCAGAAAGTATTCATTGATAATAAGTTTGTATATATTAATTAGGGCATGTCCAATTTTTCAACTTTCAATTTCCAAACATTAGGAGTGCTCAATGGTTGTGATGTGCCTTGGGGATTTTAAAGATATTTTCATTACTTTAATATAATTTAGATGCGCTCGGTAAATAACCACATCAATATCATCACTTTTCAGGCCAGCAATTCCCCAGCAAACAATTCAGACCAGCAATTCCCCAGTACCATCAAAGAAGAACATTAGTCTGTGTGCATTGAGCCAGGTGGAAGATATCTTTATCATTTCACTCCAGAGAAAGGCTCAAAAACAGGAAAACCTGCTCAAGCGATTGCAGATAATCTGGTGTATGTCATGAAGAAGAAAGGCGTTGACAAAAGCTTGAAGGCCATTGGAGGAGATTCTACAAATGTTCATACTGGCTGTGAAGGTGGTGCCATGCACTGGGTCAGAGGTCAAGCCAGAGCATCCACTCTGCTGGAGCTGATTGACTGGTCTGAAGGGGTACATGAGCCACCTTTGATGGGCAAACTGTCTACAGTGGAAATAAATAAGTCCATTGACAAATGCATGCAAGTATCACAGTGGCCCTTTCATGCTCAATCAGTAGAGAGAGATGTGAAAAAGGTCACAGAGGCAGCAAGCGGATCGTATAAACATGAGGAAATGAGGGTTATATCAGAGGCCAAGAAGCAGGTTGGTGGCTGATGTTGAAGAACAAATCAACACAGGACTTGATGAAACTCGCTTAAGCATTTTTGTAACTCAGACAATTGCTTTCTGATGTTATGATTGCATAGATTATTTTTTGCTTAGCAAGATAAGATTCAAGCAGAATTTTTTTTTATTTTTGTAGCAAAAGGTATAATTTTGAGAAAATAAAGGTAACAGTATTTGTGGGGTATATGATCAGATATGGATTTAGCATATCAAGCTAAACATTGTGCAATTGCAAAAATAACCGCAGATTTGAACTCTTGGTGTAAAAACACATAGTTTTTGAATCTCTCACTGAAAAAAAATTGCAAAAATTAATTTTCACCCCATAAAATGATATGCCCTACAGTGTATACCATCTTTTTCATTATCTTTAGAAGGGCCTCAGATTATTTTTGATATGCAAATTTTCTTCCTTTTTTTTGGAGAAAAGACAAACCATATTGTTTATGCATACAAATGTAGTTTTCTGTGTACTTATCAATTTAATTTTTTCACAATTGTAGCAATATTTTGCCACTCCATATTTCTAACTGAAAGTTGGTAACAACCACTTCATGCCAAAACATAATCTTTCCATTTTTCTTTGCTCTCCAATATTATTTTAGTTGAACATGCTTCCAAATTTTTCATAATACATGTTAGAGCAATGCTGAATATTTCACATGCTAGAATCTCCACTAGTCAGATATACTGTCTTCTAGTGTTTGCTAACCATTACTAGACTGATACAGCAATAGCTTATATTACCCCATAATTTACAGTACTCTTTGGGCAGTTTACAAGGTAGAAACATTATTTGCATATTGCCCCCAACAATCTGAGTCCTCATTTTACTGACCTTGCAAGGCTGAGTCAACCTTTAGCCCCATCAGGATCGAACTCCAGGCTGTGGACAGAGTTTGCCTGCAATATTGCACTTTAAGCACTATGGCACTAGGACTCATTCTCTTCAATAATGAGAATAGGCATTGCATCACCTCAATGAAGGCCACTTAAAGCAAATATTTATTTTATATTTTTGTACTACCATTTTTGTAGGAACTAAATATGGCTTACATAGCACTGTCCTTATTTTTCCCGATAGTGTAAATCCTGTGAGTTGGATACAAGAGAGTAACTGGCTGAAAATCAGCCACTGAATTTCCATGGTTGAGAGTAGATTCAAATACAGTTTCTCCTTGTTCTCAGTCCAACACTTTAGCCACCTCAGCCATTTTGTTCAGATTATTAATATATTACTGAAGAGAACAACTGGGTTTACTGTAGTAATCTGGTAGCTGTACCATAGACCATTGGAAAATGCTGAGCTGGTTCTTTTAACTGTTTCTTCATCAAAAGGACATTATATCAGTGAAAGAAGAATGGGGTTTCAACTAGCCTCTGGCTCAGAAGTTCTTTGTCGTGATGAGTTGCTAACTGATTGAGATGAGTATTCTGGAATGAGTTAGGAAAAGCCGCATTCCCCTTTTAAACCCTTATTGCACTAAGCACAGTTACACTTAGGTGTCCTACAGAAATCTTTGGTTTGAGACCATGCATTGATCAAATACAGATAGTCCTCATTTAGTGACTGTCTCATTTAGCAACAATTCATAATTACGACGGCAATATAAAAGTAGCTTTGCAACATTTACAGGTTTGTAAAGCAAAAGAAAGCTGAAATAAGGTTGTAAGCACAGTTGTGGGTTCCCTTAGCAACCACTTCGCTTAATGACTGAGTTGTGGGTCCCAAATGAGATCACTGAATGAGGACTATTTGTAATGCCAATGGTGCAGAAATTATTCTAGATTACTACAAGAACCCTTATTTTCCAATATTTGGAAAATCCCTTGTTAGCCTTAGATCAAGAAATACTATCACAATTATAAGTAGCTTATGAATCTAGGTTCCTTCATATATTTTTTTCAATAAATATGGCACAAATTCATTCTGAATTTCTGAAACTGAAACTCACAATATCCCAGAGGCCTCCTGGCCTCATTATCAGCCTCTTTGTCCATTGAATGTCATGAAAGAAAGGGGAAAGAGAGAGGCAATGAAAATAGAGCTGCGTTCTAGACCAAGCATCTCTTAACAGTGGCATTTACTGAGCCGGAAAGGGCCAAATGGGCGAAACCCATCCAGGTGGTTGTGGGGGTAACACAACCAGGTAGTTGGAAGGCACGTAGCCCTTCTGTCCATTCACTTCCACTAAGAACCATTCCTTGCTTCCCTTTTTATCATGGGGTTCCAGCACAGTCACTGATTGGCCTGCTTGCAGACTGACTTCCTGGTTACTCCTGGCTGTGAAGGGATAAGCAGCTCTTACCTAAGAAAAACGGAAATGCAGTTATAATACCCGATATGATTTTGATCATTACAATACAGGATAAGATACTGCAGAAAGTTAACAATGATCCCCTCCTAGAAGAATCAAATATTTTGAGGAATATTTTTAAAAGGCAGGATAAAATATTTTCCCTAAAAGAGAAATAAAAAAATCTTAAGGAAGACAGAAACTCAGAACCCCAGCTCCCTGCCCTCAAGCAGTTACTAAGTTGAGGCCATCTTTTAGAAATGCAGATTTGGTAATCCATTACTCCCTGCAGTAAGGTCTGAACAAAGGTAGGGTTAGCCCTCAGCCACAATAGGAATTGCCCAACAAGGCCCTTCATTGCATCAGCCCAAACTTCAACCAAACTTAGCTCAGGCAAACTCCTAGGATTTGTACATGGCCCCATGGGAGTCTGACAACAGCCAATAGAATACATGTTCTGGAACAGGAAGCTCAAGTACAAAGCCCAAGAGAGGGTTTAAATACCCACTCTCAACTCCATGTGGTCAGCTGTACCAGAGCTACACACACGTGGTTCTGCTTCATCAATAAATTGACCCTCTTTCCAATCAGCCTCCAGCCTCCATTTTGTCTCCAGTGCCTTTCTCCCAGCTTGGAACTGGACCTGGATATTTCTTCTAACAATATCAAAAAATTAAATAAACATGTCCAGCTCAGTCCTATCCAGATGGGCAAATCAACTTTCTGGGGTGCCTTTCTGCAAATATCTTGAAGAAGTAGAAATTAATTCTGAAATTTATGGCAAGTAGCTATGCCCAGAGACAGAGCAGGTGTCTAAATTTATGGAGTTATACAGGATACAGATGAGCTCCCGGACCAAAGAAATGAGAATGTTTGATTGTCAATTGCCAGCCTGCAGAAAGTGGTAAGTTTGAAGCTGGTAAGGCAGAAATCTCTCATTTTTACACCAGAGAAAGCCATATTATAAACAAGAGAGAAGAAGCAGAATCTTTAAGCCAAGAGAAAAATAGTGAAACAAAAAGGGGAGAGAAAGAGCCAGGATTTAAACCTTGAGGCTAACATATATAAAGAGCCCAGTTCCTCCTGGGTGTTCGATGAATTTTCTTGCCTGTATGGCTTCCTAATGCTCTGCAGTATGTGGACTTATGTAACCTTGTTGAATTTGCGTGGTGAATGCTAAGCAGAAAGAGGCATGAATGAAAATAAAATAAATGGAAATAGTGACAGGCATATAGAACTGTGAATTATTCAGCTCAGTTCTGGGCACAAGGCAAACTCACAGCAAACCTAAAGTAAATGTCCAGAGTGTTTTGAGCCTTGAAATGCAGTTTGCAGTGGTCTTCTCGCACCATCCCAGGAGAAAGGGCAACACAAACCTCTCGTCCCCACTAAAGAAGTCTTTCCAGATCCAGACAATACAAAGAAAGATCTTCAGGGTGGAAGATCTAGCTTGGTTCTGCCCACATTCCCTTTGGGAACTTTCAGATTGGGCGTGGCCCATATTGGAAGGCACAAGTCTGGGAGGCTGGTGGGAAAAAGGGAAGGGAAATCTGGGACTCTGAGATTTTTCCTAGGACTGCACCCAAAATGTGTTTTGCTAATGAGGGACACTTTCTATGTCGCACGGCATTGAATAAGAAGAAAGAGAAAATTGGCATTCCCCCAGGCTAGCAGAAATACTACGGAACAAGGTGCAGATTCAGGAGATAATCCGGCTTTGGTTATACTTCGTCTGTTTCAGGAAACTATGGAATTTGGTTTCAGACAAAGAATTGGGAACTGAATGAACTGTTATTTTGAGTTCTTTTGCTTAACAACGCATCTCTGGTAACTGTACTTTTCCTCCTTGTCATCCTGATGTTGTCTTCATCTTATCCTCAGCTGGGCTGCAGGGAAGAGCCAAGATCTGCCTTCAGCAGAGTCCTTTGTCTGTGCTACTCCTGACTGGTACTTTCCAGGCCTTATCCAGATTCCTTATTAGCATGGCTTTATTGCTCTTCTAAAGAATATTTCACCTGCTGTTCTTGAGGAAAAGCCCTCGGTCTGTGCTGTGAAGATCGATTTAAATGGGGAAGGAAAGCCAGATACTACATATTATTCAGTGTTGTGGGTTCTGTCCCCATTGGGTGCCTTACAGGTTTTCTGTTGCTTTTACCAGTAAAGAGTTTCATATTGCTGCATCATTTACTATTATCACTTTGGGAAGTGGGTGAAAAACAATTTTGTTCACTCTTTGAATTCAGCGGCGTTAGAGGACGATATTATGCACAGACCAATCTCACTTTCATGCTTAGGGCTGCCTACTAACTTCATCTTGGTGCTGCTAATCACAACATTAGAAGCTGGATTTCTTGCTCATGCGTGGCCCCTTTGGCTGCTCATTCTCCTGCTCTACCCTGTGTTCCACTTCTGGGCTTCTTGCCTGTTAAATGGTCTATTTGTAATGATGGACTTAGTACTTTATCGGAAGACCCCTAGACTAAAATTCAAAAGCAGCTGATCTGAGGAGGGACATTCATAAGGTGGGAGTGAGCTTCTCCCAATACAATAGGTTTAACTTTTAGGAAAAGAACCTTATTCTGATGACTCATTACTGTTACAAAATTGTAAAATCGTCTCCTTCACTGCTCAATGTTCCCAGAACCGGTGTCCTGAAGATGCAGTTCCTACAGCAGTTTCTGCAATGCACTATCATTATTTATGATGTCTGAGGGAGTGCCAATTTGCCTACAAATACTCTAGCTTTAATAGCACTAGCTGCCAGGATGACTACTATTGCTCTAGGCTCATATGCATGGACCAATTATAGTAGTATAATGGCAGAAGTCCACTGCAGTAAGTGTGTTCTCCATGGAGGTTGCTAGTGCACAGATTGCTGAGCTGTTCTGAAAGTTCTTGGATCTCATCTTGGCATCTTGTGGCTGGTACTGGAATTCTTGATAGTCTTGGATGACTTTGATCTTCATACATTGGAAAAGGAGTTTGGTGTAGCTCTTTTTCTCATGGTCTTAATGGCTAACATCGACTACATCACATGTAGTTGCATCCCTAACTTTTGTGAGAGGACACAAGCTAGATCTGCTCTTTATTTTGGAGCAGATGAGATGTGATCTGAAGATGGAAAGTATAAGTATCTGTTCTTTGGGACGCTTGGATCTCAAATATGGAGGGTTGGTTAAAGCCATCCATCCCATCCCACAAGGCAAGAGGGCATTTAGGGCTGTACCCCACAATTTGGCAGACTGTTACATCTCAGTGTAGCCAATCCTTAAAACACAGAGGTGGCAAGAGATGATGGGATTACTCCCATGAGGCTTTCCCACAATTATTGATTCAAGGAGTTTCTTAATTTACTAGAGAACTAATATAAGTGGAGTGATGGAAAAAGCAATAAAGGTATAAAACCAGAAGCAGATAACACCAAACATTAATGAAAGTTCATGTTTCAGCCTACACAATGATGATAAAAATTGCAATGTGGCAGTTCTCTGCACTTATTTCATCTGCAGATTCATGTTTGTGCTAAATTATAATATTTTAGGAAACAATGAACAGGACAAAGTGACTGCACATATACTGGATGAATCTGCAGATTTCTGGAAAATAATTTCACTTGATAAGACTTTCTGTAATTTGAATTTTGCCAACTGTGATTTGAATTCAGGTCCTTCTTTGCTCTTTCAAATAGCTAGGCAGGACATAGATAGCTGGATCCAGGAAGTGTTCAATGTTTCTCCAAGGAAGAAAGTACTGCCACCTTATTTTGAAAGAAGCAGTTGACATTCCTGGGTCTGGCTATATTTAATCAATTTTGCCTGGGGTTCAATGTCCTTGTTTTAAAGAATATAGTTGAAAGATATTAGGGAATCAGAGGAACATCATACAAAAGAGGAAAGAAGTTTTCTAAATCTTTTCCAGTTCCAGATTCTAGTTATGAGACAGAAATGGTATTAGTCATGGTGGTGAATAGTTTTCATTCGGAGTTCACACAGACTAAACTTTTCAGGGTCCTATTAGAGCTTTGACTTTTAGCTCCTATACAAGCAGCAAATGAATGCCCAATTCTAGCTGAGGTGCCTCTTGTGATCTTATGTATTGTTAGACGTAATCATATAAACTAATCCTTCATGTGGCTGCTACTTCTTATCTATCTTGAGGGGCTGCCTTGAGGGGCTGCCACAGGGAGGAAGGGGTCAAGCTATTTTCTAAAGCATCTGTAGGCCAGAGAAGGAATAATAGATGGAAACTGAACAAGGAGAGATTTAACCTGGAAATAAGGAGAAACTTTCTGACAGTGAGAACAATCAACCAGTGGAACAGCTTGCCCTCGGAAGTTGTGGGAGCGTCATCACTTGAAACTTTCAAGAAGAGAATGGACTGCCATTTGTCAGAAATGGTGTAGGGTCTCCTGCTTGGGTGGGGGGTTGGGCTACATGACCTAGAACTCCTAGAACCTTCCAACTCTGATTATCTGTTATCTGTTACCTTTGTTTTGATTTTCATTGCTCGTTACATGTATATTTTTTATTTGACCAACACCTTGCCAGTTCTCAAATTTTACCCACTCTCATGTTTCACTTTATAAATGTCTCAAGGGTGAGTCAACGTCCGGGCTATTCCATATTTAAATCCATCTGAGATCCTGTTTCTAACAAACTACCTGGAGAAAAAAATATCACTTGAGAGGTATGCCCAATTTTGAAATGGCCCTGTTAAAATATAAATCAGCATAGCAGGACAGGGAATGCCATCATCTGCCAGTCTCCAGTCATAAATTCACTGCATGTACACAACCCGTACTATTGTCCTTGAAAATCAAAGCAAAAAGACAGACAGATAGGAGTGGCTGAAAAACTGCCACTTTACTCACCTGTAAAACTGGAGTGTTGAAGTATGCTGGGGGATTGGGAGTTTGAGGAAAGTTACAAGTAGGATATGTTTTCCCAGTAGTATCACCCTGGGGCAACGTTGTTGTCCTGGGCCTTGAGTTAGGGACGTAATGGTACTGTTGGAGCTTTCCAGGTGAAACGTAGCCTCTTGGACCTGCAAGATACACAAGACAGGTAGGGTCAGCTAGCAGATGGCCCTACTGCAACTCCAATGAAAGCGGCATGAACTTGACATAGTTGGAAAATAATGGTGTAGAAAGTAACAATTGATATAAAAAGGAATGGGCAAAAAGGCAGCATTTACTGTAGGAAAGAAGAGAGGATGTGTGGGATGTACTAATGAAAGGATGTGATTTTTACAAGAGTTTTTGGCAGGATGTAATCTGTCCTATTTTAAAATCAAGGCCAGGAGGAGCTATTTCTGAATACATTAAAATTTTATATTCATATAAAAATCCTAACGTTACAGCAACAAATGGCTAAACTTTTAACTATGGCTATAAAATAAAGTTTTTTACTGATTTATTAATGTATGTGTTTTAAAATGCTTAGTATAATATTTATCAACTTATTTATCTCAAAGCGTTTTATTTTATACTAACCCTTTTTATTATACTGTATCTGTACTTTCTAGGCGCCACAGTGGCGCAATGATTAGAATGCAGTACTGCAGGCTACTTCTGCTGACTGCCGGCTGCCTGCAATTCGGCAGATCGAATCTCACCAGGCTAGAGGTTGACTCAGCCTTCCATCCTCCTGAGGTCAGTAAAGTGAGGACCCAGATTGTTGGGGGCCATATGCTGACTCTGTAAACCATTAGAGAGGGTGGGAAAGCACTGTGAAGTGGTATACAAGTTTAAGTGCTATTGCTTTCTTTATGTCTTTCAACTTAATAATAGCCCTTAGCAATAGCAGTAGCACTTAGTCTTGTATACCACTTCACAGTGCTTTACAGACCTCTCTAAGCAATTCACAAAGTGAGCATATTGCTTCCAACAACCTGAGTCCTCATTTTACCAACCTCTGAATGATGGAAGGCTGAGTCAACCTTGAGCTACTCAGAATCGAACTGCTGGCAGTTGGCAGAAGTAGCCCGCAATACTGCATTCTAACCACTGCACCACCATGGCTTTTGAACTATAATATTTTGGTTACGTTATGCTATGTTACATTATGTTATTATTACACTGTGTTATTGTTACTTTATGTTATTTTTACATTATGTTATGTGATAGAAAGGGAACAAGATGAGTGGGAAAGATGACCAAAATTAGCACAAATATGATGAATGGAGACAAGAAGGGGAGATATGAAGCTATAAAATTAGAATAAGGCCTGGAAAAAAAATACACTGCAGGGAAAATATAAAGGAAGGGGTGTTTAATACAGGGAAAAAAAGGACAAGAAAAAGAGAGGAAAGGAACGGGTTGCAATATGAAAGCAGAGAGAGGTAGAAAAGTCAGTATAAAAGAAAGGGAGAGAGGAAAGAAAGGACAATTTGGACTCGTGCTCCTACTTTAGGCAAAGTTCAGTCATGCGACAGGCAACTTTATAGTTCAGTTACTGATCTTATGGCTGCTGAAAAGAATTCTCTTCATTCACTCTTCTCTGTAGCTACTCCCCACCTCCTGCTGTTTGGACAATGGCCATTTCTCATTTCTGCCTAATAGGACTACAATACAATTGTTGCAGTGAGGCACCTCTCCTAGGCAATGAAGCAATTATCTAATCCATGCAAAATCTGGTAGGGGAATTTAAAACTCCTGGGATACTTGAGTCTAACTATTGGGCAATGGCTCTAGTTTTTCACCTGACATTTGATTTTCACTGTTCAGAGAGCAAGTAATTCTCTCTTTCATTACAATCATTTAGCAAATATACAAAGATATATATATATATATATATATATATATATTTCCTACCACCCACTTGCTCAGACAAATCAGAGAAAACTGTCCCAAGGGGTGGGGGGAATCTACTTCTCATTAATAAAATGCAACTGGCTAGGAATTATATTCTCAATGGGAATAAATAAAATGTGACTGGCTAAAATAATCTATCTGAATCAAATTAAAAGTCCATTTAACCCAATATCCTGGTTTCCACAGTGGTCAATTCTTGATTGCTAAGAAGCTCAGTGACTAGTATTTCAATTCACTCAAATATTGAAAGGCATATAAAATGAACAGCTCAGTGGTAAGCACTCTCCATTAAACTAGAATGACAAAACACTGGATGTGTCTTAATCTCTTTTTTAAATATGAATAGTTTTACAACACAAATAAAAACTATACTGAAAAGTTTAAAAAATCTGCCAAAGGAAGGATTTCAAATTCCATTTTTCCTTCCACATTAGCTAATCAGATTATCAGATCACATGTTACAGAAATAATAGCACTCTATAATAATCTTCCTCAAATTGCTGAACTCCAGATCTGATGGACTATAATTCCCCTGATAACCAGCCAGAGATTTGGGAGTTGTAATCCAACACATCTGGAGCCCACCAGATTAGGCTCAATGAAATCTTCTGTGGTTATGGTTTAAGCTTCTTATCTGATGCAGTAGGGATGCAAGAGATATCAGACACAGATTTATTTTACATCAAAAGGCTGCACTTCATCAAAGGCCGTTCTGTAGCCAGATCAATTTACCTACCCCTTTTTTCCTGCTAAAAAAGTTCTCAGCGCCAGTGTCTATTTTGTGAAATAGTCCTTTTCTGATCATTTGAATTTATAGGTGCACCCTTCCTCGATACCAGTCTCCATAGCTTAAGGATTTGTTGCAATTAAAACGTATATAATTCAAAAAATATAAACCAGGTAGGTAGACTAGATTGTATATGAAAAGCATATATCACAATACAGCTGTATTGTACAGCCATCATGGGATTTTGATGCATAAGCCGAATACAAAAATATTCAGACTATAAACAAATTCCTTCAACTTGAGTTTTACTTTTACTGATTTCAGGGGCATAGCCACATACATACAGTCATGTGAAAAAGAAAATGCATCCTCTTTGTGCTCTATGGTTTTACGTATCAGGACATAGTAAAAACCATCTGATCCTTAGCAGTTTTTAAAAGTAGGTAAATCCAGATGAACAACAACACATGACATATACCATGATATCATTTATTGTATAAGCCCTGAGGATTCCTGATAATCTCCCATCTAAATATTACAGATCCTACTTAGGTTTTTGAGATAAATATTTCAAAGAACCATGTTTTTTTTTTTAAAGGCAAGTAAGAAGGAAAAAAAAACATTTCTTTTCAAATTTCACAAAACAAAACAATGTACGACATTCATACAGACCGGGTTTAGATGGATCAGACCATCCCAATTTACCACTCTTAGTAACAAAGAAAAGGGGTCCTTGGTGCTCCCTGAGCTGGCTTGTTTTCTTGTAGAGGCTTAATTATGCAAACTAGCTAACATAATCAGCACTGATGATGATCACCTAGTTTAGGTAATGAAACATCTGCAAAGAAACCACCAAGCTCAGGAAGCACCAAGGATCCAGGGATGGGATTAAAAAAATATTTACTACCAATTCTGTGGGCGTGGCTTGGTGTGCGTAGTGTGACTTGGTGGGTGTGGCTTGGTGGACATGGGAGGGGAAGGATACTGTAAAATTTCCATTCCCACCAGTGGTGGTATGCTACCGGTTCGGCCCGGTTCAGCCAAGCAGCAGCGATGAGCAGAGAATACCAAACCAGTTCTCTCTGCCGCTTTCCTGTTGGGCCCACCCACTTGCCCAGGCTCCCATACTCACATTTATCTTCTGCTTTTGAAGCGCAGCTGCTTTGTGCGGCACAGAATAGTGCCGCGCGGCAGCTGCTAAAGCAACCGGGAGAGTTCAAGCTTGTAGGAGGTGAGTTGAAACGCCTCTGCACCTGCACAAAGTGCCTGTTTGGCATGTGCGTGCATGCACGCAAAGCACGCCCACCAAGCCACGCCCACCAAACCGGTGCTAAAAGTTTTTGAATCCCACCACTGATTCCCAGCCCACTCAAGGGGAAGGTTACTGTAAAATCTCCATTCCTCCCCCCAACCCCACTAACCTGCTTTCCAGCTACGTTCTCCTATGCAGGGCAAGAAAAGAAAACCCAGCCGATCATCTGGGACTTGGGAGGCAGAGAATAGATGGGGGTGGGGCCAGTCAGAGGTGGTATTTGCCGATTCTCCGAACTACTCAAAATTTCAGCTATCAGTTCTCCAGAACTGGTCAGAACCTGCTGAATACCACCTCTGCAAGGATCCCTCATATCAGCCCTGAACTACAAATATTCTCCTTTATCGATACGAAGAAAAGGGTTTGGGGTGGTTGCAACATTAACAGTACCTCCTGAATCAACCAGCCATCGGTTTGTGTTGCCCTTGGTGTCCATGCCATGCAAAAAAGCCACTATCTGCCCTCTCTGCAGAGTCAAGTCCATGTCTTTGCAGCCCCCGGTATCCCTTGTCACCTGGTACAACTTATCTGGGCCATGTTTGTTCAGAAGCAAAAGGACCTTCTTCTCCTCTGCAGAGGTAAGAGGCTATTGAAAAGGTAGAAGGAGAAATGAGTCAGAAAAATATCCCCGTTGAAGAAATATGCTGCTGTGTTTTATGCACTTATGCATGAATCATAATGAAACAAAGTGCTAATGCAGCTAACCAAAAATATCCTAGAACAAGGTGTGACAAATCCTGAAAGTCAAACATATTTTGCACGCTCAGTTTCAGAAAACAAGGAAAAGGGGCAATTCGGCAAAGGAGGCAGAGTAGGACTGCAAGAAATTGGGCACTGGGAAAAGGAGAGGGAAAATTATTTTCATCTGCTTCTAATACTACCAGTTCTATTTCTTCTACAGGGCCAAGAGCAATACATTTGCTCGAGACCGCTACTGCTGAATCTCCCTGCTACAGCCTTTCAAACAATCATACTCAACTACTCTGAAAATTGTCAGTAGGCTAAATAAAACATGCCTAAATTAAATTTTAAAAAATGCAAAGCATAATAATAGTCTACTTGTTACCCTTCCATTGCTGGGAATGCAAATATCTAGAATCCATCCAGATGTTTTATGTGTACAATTTTCAAATTATAAAGTTTAAGCAACATGGCCAGTAATTTCTTTAATGGCAAGTCAATTAATGGTACTGCAAAATCAACTGACTAAGATTATCTGCTTTATCCTTCCTAATGCTTCTACTGGCCCTGAGATTGTTTTGGGATGGCTAGTAACTAAATTTGTTTAGTCAGAAGTCATTACAAAACCATCCATTGGCCTACTACAATTTATACTAAAACCATCATCCGCTGCAGAAATAAACATCTATATACACTACGGCATGTATGGGTCAGTGACTCAAGATCTTAAAAGGGTTCATACACTTTTCTCCTAAAATGCATACAATGCACAAATAGGTTGCTTAGTAAAGATATCCAAGTGCCTTAATGAAAAATGTGACATCACAAACTAAAACTTGTCCTGAGTACTTCACAAAAGGGTAAAGCAAACTCTCCAAAGACAAGCAAGCCAGCCTTTGAATTATTCACTCCCCTCGCACTCAAATTCCAAGTTTATACACAAGACAATCCAAGCATCCAAGTATCACAGAATATCCCTGGATAAGGCCTAGAATTCACCTGGAATTAGCATCTGCTTCTTCCATGCCCCTGCCAGATATTTATGAGTTAACTAGCCATCGGTCAACCAAGGAAATTGTGCACCAGTAAATGCATACCCTCTTGCTTTTCCAGTAGCATCATACCTGCACAACGGGGCTTGGCAAAACAGTATCAAACTTCTTCTGGAAAAAGTACAGCTGATCTTCAGCCTGTTTTAAAGTATCCATTACCATTTTCCAAAATTCAGTTGCAGAGAGATGTCTATGGGGCAGCTGTAAGAGCAAGCCTAGAATTAAATGACTGAAAAAGAGTATGTGTAAAACAATTACTGTCCTAATTTTTTGAGGACCTGTTTACTGCATAAGTCAAAAAGAGGGCAGCTGTGAAAATGTTTCCAACCCCTCGCATCCTGGACATAAACTGGTTCAACTCCTACCTTCAAAATGATGCTATAGGGCAGTGGTGGCTAACCTTTTGGGGCTCCTGTGCCAAAAATTGTGCACGTGTTAGCACGTGCACACTCATGTGCCAGCACCCAGAATGCAATGTGCCCCCTGTGCATGTGCACGCAATCCCCCCATGCCACCCCCACTACCCCCTTACCTGCACTGCACCTCACAGCTGATTTTTCGGCAACATTGTCCAACTATTTACTAAGTCTGCATTACTATTACTATTAATCTTCTCATCGTTCCTGTCACCCATCTCCTCCCACTTATGACTGTATGACTGTATCTTTGTTGCATGTATCCTTATGATTTATATTGATTGGCTCCTAGTATGATTTGGTTGCTTGTTTGTACCCTATGACTCTCATTAAGTGCTGTACCTTATGATTCTTGATGAATGTATCTTTTCTTTTTATGTACACTGAGAGCATATGCACCAAAGACAAATTCCTTGTGTGTCCAATCATCGTTGGCCAATAAAGAATTCTATATTTATATATTTTCTCTTTCTTAAACTTGGTATTGGGTCTCCTGCTATTTATACCATCCATAACAGGCTGCACAGCAGCACAAAAATATTTTAGGCTATGGACTGCAATTTCTGTGTTTTCAGGGAAATGCTACAGTTTCTTCTTCAAGTATATGCCTATTGGTTGCATGCAGGGGGAAACAATCAAATAGAAATCGCCTCTTACCTGGACAATCTCCCCTTCTGCCTCGTGCAGGATTTGCTTGGCCAGATCCCTCTGAAGAGTCATGAAAGAACAGAGGATGCAGGCCAGCCACTTCAGGGCCACCTGATTGAATGTAGGAAGTTCAGACACAAGCAAGGAGTTAATGCCAAGATAGGCATTCATGATAGCCTCCTCCTCATAGGTCACGCTGCCCGTCTCATTCCTCTTCTCCTCATATTCCTCATAGTCAAGCAGCTTATCTGATCGCTTCTTGATCAGTTTCTGGGGGCCTCTAAGAGTCTCTGATAAGTTGCACAGTGGCTTATATACCAGGTGCTCCAGCCTCTGCTTCTGTAAAGGAAGAGATGCAGACTTTTTCTCAAATCTTGACCTCCTTTGCTCTGTGGAAGATCAAAGCCTTTGGACTGAGGGTCTCTGGTCCTTCTCCTTGCTACGTGCCTAATAGTTAGAGAAATCTTAGATAATCTAGAAAAATCTCAAAGAACTTGCTTTGAAATTTTGGAATGTATATATCACATTATGCTCCACTTCTCAGACATTGGCTCGTTAGGTAAGATGAAGATTTTTCCTTGGAAAAAAACCCTGTTATCTCACAATGGTTTATCATCATTATCATCTTCAGATATGCCGAGACTACAACTCCCAAAATTCCAGTTTGCCTGCAAATGTGAGAAGGCAAGGCTATAATGAATCAATCCGATCCTTCCCTCCTCCCAAATTTGGCAAATTGATACTTACATAGACAGGAAAGATGGTGCTGTGAAGCTTTTTTGCAAGAGAACAATACGGTTGGGTAATGTACGTTTCCATATCCAGTTCATCCTCATGTGGTTTGAAACTAAGGAACATCTAAAAGATAAGGAAAGCAACTTTCATTATTAGGCAGGATTGCAATGATTAAAATGTCTATTCTTCCAAAATTTCTTTATATATTTCAGACGATACCAATTAAAGTACACAAAAAGTATTTTGAAGAACTTAATAAAATAATCGCAAAATTCATTTGGCAAAGGAAAAAAATGAGGCAATGCAAGATATGAAGAGCAGGGGAGGGATGGCCCTTCCAAATTGGGAGTTGTACTATAGTGCGGCCTTCTTAGTATGGTTGAAGGAATGGGTGAACTTAACAAACAAGAGAATATTAGTTTTAAAAGGTCACGACCTACAGAGGGGGTGGCATGCTTTTCTATGGGATATCGGGAAAACCTCCCAGAAATACTTTCACAGACACTTTATTAGAGATGCATTATTGACTAACTGGAAGAAAATAAGGAGAAAACATTATTTAAAAATACCAATCTGGATTTCAACAATGGAAGCGATGATCCACCCAAATAATTTGGATATTACTAAGATGATTAAATACAAGGACTTATTGGATGTGCAAGGAAATTTGAAATTGTGGCGAGATCTTCAGGACCAGGGAGTACAAATCGATAGATGGGCATATCTTCAAGTCCAGAGTAGATACAAACAGGATAAGAAAGAATTTAGAATCAATAATAAACTTCAGCAACTAGACAAAATTCTATTAGGCCCAGATAAAAAAAATATAACAAAATTTTATAATTACCTTCTAGAGGCAGAATTAGAGGAAGAAATTGTCAAAGGGAATATGATAGCCTAGAGTAGGAATATAGGACGTGGTATCACTTTAATAGAGTGGGAGAAGGTCTGGAGTAGAAATAATAAAATCACAAAATCGGCAGCCTACAAGGAAAATGCCTATAAGATGTTTTACAGATGGCACCTTCCCCTCTTGAGATTAGTGAAAATGCACCCCAACATGAGTCTGAATTGCTGGAAATGTAAAAAAAAAGGAGGGAACTTTCTTCCATATGAGGTGGTCTTATACAGAGGCACAAAAATATTGGCAGAATATTAGAAAATTGTTGGAGGAAATGACAATAGAACAGATCGAATTTAAACCAGAACTCTTTCTATTAGGGATCTTTAATAATCAAATCTCAAAAATATAATAGTAATAGTAGTGCAGACTTTGTAATAGTTGGTCAGTGTTGAGGGAATTATTTGTTTAGCAGAGTGATGGTGTTTGGGAAAAAACTGTCCTTGTGTCTGTTCTGGTGTACAATGCTCTACAGCATCGTTTTGAGGGTAGGAGTTGAAACAGTTTATGTCCGGGATGTGAGGGGTCTGTAAATATTTTCACAGCCCTCTTTTTGACTTGTGCAGTATACAGGTCCTTGATTGAAGGCAGGTGGGTAGCAATTGTTTTTTCTGCAGTTTTTAATTACTCTCTGAAGTCTGTGTCTGTCTTGTTGGGTTGCAGAACCAAACTAGACAGTTATAGAGGTGCAGATGATAGATTCAATAAGTGGTGAATTGTGACCACAGGTTAACATTTAGCACTGTCCAGCTTTTATTATAGAAATAATAAAGGAAAGACACAAATCAAATAAATAAAGATACAGTCCAGGTGTGGTTTGGATTTCTACTTCAAAATTGCAGCTTACACAAAGAGTCAGTGAAAATGCAACACACAAGTATCATTAATAGGTGGTGGCAATTATGCTATGGATATTGCTGTGAAGTCTCATTCTGGGAGGGTCCTGGTAACTGTGTACTGAGGTCAGAGTAAAAGTTTTGGTTTGGTGTAACCAAAAATCAATGCAAATGTTTCATGATACTCCTCCAAAACTTTGCTTTAGTGAATCATTTTCCGAATTCATAAGCACATTTACATAGATGTTTCCATTGATCAGAGTCTACTTCCAATTAAACATTCATAAACATGTTAGTTTTCTATTGAGGAATGTAGTTCTCAAGAGAACACCTTGAGAAGCGGGTGGGAAATGATTACTCAGCCTTGGAAAAGTAAAAAGCATGAGAATCAGAATGAGATAACCTCTCCCCTGACCTTGCAGGGGTGGGATGCTACCGCTTCTTCCCGGCTCTATAGAACTGGTAGCTCTGAAGAGCAGCAGACACCGAACCAGTTCTGTGTCTGCTGCTGTTTGGCCCATCCGCCCACCTTACCTGACCTTTATTTCCTGCTTTTTCAACCTCAACTGCTTTGCGCAGCACGTAATCACCAAACCGGTAGTAACACCAGTTGAATCCCACCCCTGCGACCTTGTCTTTAAAAAGGGAGGAGGTTCTTTACAGGCTTCCAAGATTCTGTGAATGAATAAGAAATTCTAGCAAGTAGCATTTCTAGAATTCCTGCTGTGTCGGTTTCTTGGCTTGACCTCCCTTGGAAAGCTAACACCTCCCCATCATCTCCCCCCCCCCCCCCCAAAAAAATTCACTTTAGGTGTCTTTTAAGCTCTATTTAAACTATTTAAAATTTAAATGTTTAAAATGTGCCTTGTGGTTACACATTTTGAAACAGGGTCTAAGAGGAATTGTTGCATCAGATTTGAAATCTCTTGTTCCTGATGAAGAAAGGCTTTCTCTGGGAAAACATGCTTACCAATTGAGTCTGACATCCTATTCTGAGGAGCATCTGTAGCTGGTGAACATATATTTTCTTTACTTTGGTGGATGCCTTGATTTCAAAGAAGACGTCATGTGTGCTACAACCACCCCTTCCTTTTCCTCTTTCCCCTCCTCATATTTTTTTTAATATTCCTCCTGGGTCCTCACATTTAATGGCCTATGGTAGAAGTTTACTCACTGCAAATTCAGTGACCAAATTCCAATTCAGAACCAAGGGGATATTTATATTATATTCCCAATATCCTACCTGCCATATGGTATGCCAGAAATTTTGGATTTTTTTCTTCCTTTTGTCTTCTTACATAATTCCATTGCTAGAATTATGATTGTTCCTGGACATTTAATTTAAATGTTCCCCAAATACTAAACTGAAGCACGTTCACCATTAATTATTTCAACCAAAAATGCTATTAACAATTTTGAACGTATTATTTCCAGTTTTAGTTCTGGAGAGTCAGACAACACATAATCTATTCTTCTGGTGCTGCTTGGTTGGTTCCACTGTTTTTGTGATGACCCGGGGCATGGCACAAAGGCAATACAGTCAAATAATAAGTAGCAGTTCCTTTATTAGCTACAACTTTGCCCCCAATGTCCTGGTTACCTTCTGGTCTAGAGAAAAAGTCTCCTAGGAACAGCCTTTGGCTGTAGAGATTCAAGTCCAAAATGTTGTCAACAAAAACATTAACTATTAGTCCAATCAAGGCAAGATGAGGTAATTAATCCAGCAGGGCAAGAGAAGGAATTCCAGACGTGAGGGAAATCAACCCAGTTGGAAGGATTCCAACCACGGTCAACACAAGATAAACTCACATTTGTTCCCAGAAAATACCACTCTCAGCTTGCATCTTGTTTAAACTCTCTTCCCAGGTGTGCCTAATGAAGGGAATCAGGGCCCTTTCCTCCCCACTAAGCCATGCAAGCATTCCTCCCAAGGTGTTCTAGGATGAAGAGGGGTTGGGTCTGGATTTTCTTCTGAACTCCCTTTCCCTTTTTCTCCCTCTCCTGCTCTGCCCAGCCGGTCTTTGCCCTTCCCCAGTTTCCTCCACAGCTAATGGAGCCACACTCCCACTTCCTGTCTTCCTCCTCGGATTCAAACTCCGACAGGGGCATGATAGTTTGCGACATAAAAAGGAAGCAATAGACAGTCTGGTGTTCAGCCAAGCTTGAATATCTGCTATGTCCCCTTTCTAAGATTTGCTTCCACATTAAAACTCTTAATGGATAGGGCTTGCTTAATTCTTACAAAAATATATCCCTTTTCTCTCTGTCTATGGCAATTCTCAATCAACCAGGTCATGGTTTCTCAAAGATGCTTTTTTCAAAAGCAACTGGACTTTCTTTGAGGGTTTTTTTTTTTTTGTCTTTGAAAAGGTTTCACTTCTCATCCAAGAAGCTTCTTGGAAGAGAAGCAAAATGTTTTGAAGGAAGAAAAAAATTCCCCCTTTTGGGGGGAAATTTGGATTACTTCTCCCTCACAAGAATATTTCTCTATTCTGAAGCCTTTAAAACTTAGATGAGCAGCCCATGAACAGATGTAAATTTAATATTTGGAAATGGCAAGCAAGATTAAAATCTTGGGTAAACATCTCCCAGGCTCTTCTTTCATATCTGTGGTACTATAAAGATCTGCCTCTGCTGCCATTCTCTATGCCATTTCACTACTGTGTACTTATAACAGTGAGCATCAAACAGGAATCAGATCTAAAGTTAATCCACACATGTGCTGCTACTACTAAAACCCACTATTTGTGCTCATGGCATAGATTACCATCCATTAAAGTCCACTCCAGTCCACTTCATAATTTGAAGAATTATTTGAACTTACTGCCTCATAATATTAGAAGCACAGCAATTATGTCCAAGAGTTAACTTTTCCCTGCATTGCCCTTTTATATCTTAAGGTTAAGATAGTTTTGCGATTATTCAGAATGAATTCTCATTGTATTTTAGGGAAGTAGTTCACATTTTACCAACCAGTTGGTAATATCTCTTTCTCTAAATTCACTATAAGTTTTGTTTGTTTTTTCAAAATTTCCTACAATGAAATGGTTTTGGCAGGAGATTAGCTCTGACAGAGAGAAGTATTTATTCAGCAAATGGCTCCTGATGGACATTGCAGTTGACAACAGATTCTCCCATTTTGAAAGGGAAATCCTCGAATTCATAGCAGAAATGTGCATCAGTGGTTCTTAAAGTATCTCCCTGAACTACCGTAGAGAAAGAGCAGGAAAAGGCTAGTGTTGTAATGTCTTACTTGTGGTCTCTACTGAGAAGGTTGTCTGGACTCTTTGGGAATCAAAACTGAACTAGACAGGAATTGGTCTTTTTATAATTGCACTGTAGGGCAGAGGAGAATGACAAGATACATTAAGACTGCATGCGTTGCTGAAAATCTTGTGGCTGATGTTGGTATTAAATTGCAATACTAAACAGGTTTCTAAATAGAGAAATTTAATGGACTCTGTGGAAAAAGGGTGTCTGTTATTCACAAACGTCCAGTAAATTGGAGGGTACATCATCAGATTGATTAAGGCAACTTGCGGGTGATCAGACAAACAGAATAAAAGATCACATTTTGTGGATGTATTATGCAATAACTTCATTATGTCAATAGACTAAATCGCAGCAGAATTTGGTCCTTTGCATCAGGTAAATTGAAATTTCACAGTAATGCCAGGCCAGTCATTTGTGGAAATCATTATTTCATGTGAAAGAAGAAGGTGAATTAGGAGTCACATTAACATGGTTTGTAAATGACCGATGCTGCTTTTCTTTAAAAATGCTCACACCTAAAGCATACACTGGGACTCTGTGGACTCTCTTTCTATCTTCTTTTTGAGAGCGATTAGTTGACCACAGCATTGCCAAAATAGTGAAACACAGAAAGAAGGGCTATTAAAGGCTTTAAAAAGAAAGAGAGAAAAAGAAGGGGAAAATTGTACCAACCAAGTCAAGCAACATCTCCCCTTATCCCAGTGCTATTTGCTCCGCTTCTATAACCCCTTCACAAAAACGGTACATATTTGGCATAGCACTAACTTTTAATATGACAGATGGAAGCAATAATTAAATACATCATTGGAAAATAATCATATTACTTATATTTAATTACATGTAAGTGACATCAAATTTAGCTTTTGGTCTGGCACCACTCAGTATTTTGGGGGAATGCAGTTTTTGGCTGACCATGGCTCTCAGCCCAGAAAATGTTTTGCATCCCTTCTGGAAGGATCTGTTGGGTTTCCTCCACCCCTCCTCTTTCATTTGCTTTTCTTATTATGCTCCATAAAAGAGGGGTGGGGTTTCTTTTAGTGTGGAGCCTCTTGTCTTTTTTAGCTAACTTTTGATGCACATCTAATCTCATAATTCTGTGGACATTATTGAAGTTCTCTGGTTTATTTTTAAGCATTTTTTTTTCAAACTTCCTACCAGCATATCTTGACATGCTTCCAAGGTTCTGTTCAAATATTTATAAAAACTGGTATTTTCCTTCTGAATGTTCACTGGAATCCTTAGAAGCCCAACTTAGCTACTCTTCTTTCTTTTTTGCCTATTGCCTATTGCCCTCTTTCCAAGTTCTCTAAGGTCAATTCCCTGAAGAAAGAGGAATGATAGTAACAGGTGACCGAAGGCTAAGGTTACTCGGTTTTCTGAACGTCATATTATTTGCAGCTGGGAATCACAAAATCTTGGTTGTGAGCCCATTTAAAGTCCATTAACTTTAAAGAAAGGTTCAGACTAGGGTTCCCTCATTAGGAATGGGAAAGTTTTCATTTTGAGCTGTTCCTTTGTGAATACATATCCCCTCCCACATATTCAGAGTGTATTGCTAGAAAAAGAATGCATGTATACAGATGGAAAATCATATCGATTACTTCCAAGACAACAGTTAAATGACATAAAGGCAAAGGTAAAGATTCCCCTCGCACATATGTGCTAGTCGTTTCTGGCTCTAGGGGGCGGTGCTCATCTCCATTACAAAGCCAAAGAGCCAGCACTGTCCAAAGAGCCAGCACTGTGGTCATGTGGACAGCATGACTAAACACCGAAGGTGCAGGGAGCACCTTCCTACCAAAGGGGTCCCTATTTTTCTACTTGCATTTTTACATGCTTTTGAACTGCAGAAGCTGAGATAAGTAATGGGAGCTCATTCCGTTATGGGGTGCTAGGGATTCCAACTGCTGAACTGCTGACCTTTCTGATCAACAAGCTCAGGGTCTTAGCCATTGAGCCACCATGTCCCTAAAAATGACATATACGTTACTGTAATTACTGCCTGAAGTTCAAGCAGGAGTGAAAATTAGCAGATACATACTGGTTGGGCAGTCACTTGTTTTACCACATCTTTTGCGCAGACTTTCTTAAACAGACTCAGTAGCTTCCCATCTTGCAAAAATAGACATATTGCATCAAGGTAACTATATTCTTACTAACAGCTTTACAACCCAATTGACGGGCCACATTTGATGGAGCAGCGGATAAGGGTGGCAGTTTAAGGTGTCCCTACAGAGTTCCATCACTAATACTGTGGACTTCTCTTCAGTCATGATTCAAAGAAATCTCAGAAACATTAATAGAGACAATGCTGAATTGTCAACCACAAAAAGACACCTCTAGTCAACTTTCAAAGTGTGCTCTAATTCCATGAGTTTGGTTGAACATTAGATACAAAAATGTTACCTCTGTGTTGTCCAGAAAGCAGGCCACATTCTCTTTCAGATCAATTATAGCGGATGCCAATGACTGAAACTTTTCTTCCAGTTGATCAAACTCTTTATCCTCTGTCTAAAGATGAAAGAAAAGAAATTATATTTTGTCAGAAGACAACTTACAGGTGGTAAAAGATCAGTATTGAGCAGTGATACCAAAGGAAATAGAATGCCACAAGTGACTACAGACTTCTTCTGTGAATGTCAATCATATTGTTGGGAGAATTTCTCGGTTCCTTTCTTCTGAGCTGGGAAAGGAGACCATTAGCAAGGGAAGGGCAAGCATCCCTAAAATCAAGACACTGAGGCTATCAGTGTTCCAACAGAGGAACCCCCAACCAAAGCAAGCACGGCGATTGAGACGATTCAATCTCTTCATGCAAAACTTTAGTGAATACTTCACTTTGACAAAGATGAGAGCAAAACCAGATCTAACTACTTCTTGTGCAAACCCATATAGTTAAAGTTTAGATTCTCCCTCTCCTCCCCCGCCCCAAGACAGGTAACATTGTTCAATTGGGTCTCCTGGTATTGTGATACAAAAGTCTTTTGGCTCTGGCAAACACCTGCTGAAGTGTCCTTGGTTCTCACATATGTCTTCTTGATGTCTGTATTCCATCTCCCCCTTCCCCGCACCCCCAGTTCATTGGCAAGCTGAGAAGAGATAAGAGCTGCAACAGCAAAAGTGCCTTTTTGAAGCTTGACAGAAGCTGATTTCTTGAAAAAGATCTCTCTCTATCGTCCCAAAACAATAAAAGATTTGACCACAGACTGATCCATCAGTAAGATTTTTACATAATTTTGAGTCCTTTGTGAAAGACACACAAGTGAGATATATGGTTTTATGACTGGAACAGGAAACATGGTGGCACAGGGGTGAGAGTGCAATACTGAAGACTACTCCTACTGACTGTCGGCTGCCTGAAATTTGGCAATTCAAATCTCACCAGGCTGAAGGTTGACTCAGACTTCCGAGGTTGGTAAAATGAGGAACCAAAATTGTTCAGGGCAATATGCTGACTCTGTAAATCACTTAGAGAGGGCTGTTAAAGCACTGTGAAGCAATATATAAGTCTAAGTGTTATTGCTATTGCTACATGGCTTTTACAGTTAGAGGAAGTATTTTGCTTGTTCTCTCCCTATCAGAAAAATTCCTGACTAGGCACATGGTATAAAGAACATGGGCATAAATGTTAAAATCCCCATGCCTTTTATAAACATTGATTTCCAGCTGCCTGTCAGCATTCTATTGCATTTAAAGAAACACCATATTTTATAAACGGAGACAGCATTTCTTTGACTCCAAATCAGAAGGCTGTTTAAAAAGGAGGTGGGAAGAGATCACAGACTTTTTAACTTCTATCAATACTTATAAATTTATGTTGTGAATGAATAGGCAAGTATGGTATGCAAAGTAAATATCTGCCATCTCTGGAGTTCCCAGAAATTATATTATTTCTGATAAATGCACACCCTGGATCGACAGAAAAGTCTAATGCAAGCATAGACTCTTCTACTGGATCTTGGAAGAGGCAAGAGACAAACCATTGGAAAATTACTTTGCAAAGAGAAGAGAGATGATAGAAAGAAATTTATTTCAGTAGGAAAAGCTGATTTCACTAAATTTGCTTCAGTTCTGGAATTTTTTTCACTGCCCAAAGTTGAGAGTTAAAGAATATTACTCCAAGATATATTTCCATGCAGGCTTCCCAATGCCATCAGAGATAAGCTAATTTTAACCAGGGTCATCATACTTTATCTTCTACAAACAGGAACTAATGCTAAGTCCAATATCTCAATTAGGGGTGTAATGAGGAGTGGAAAATGCTTGGCATGCTTGCAGCACTACATAAATTACTACTCCTGTCATTACATGTGAAGGAATCATCCTCAGCCAGGTCAAAAGCAGAAGTTGTTATGTGATCTCTTCCCAAAATGTGTCATGATCCATAAATGAAGCACATGAACTCTTAAAGACTGCAATGTGATCATCAACTGCTATCCACGAAGCAACTTGAGGGCATCTTGAGGACATTGGTGTGAATGAGTTTCAGAAAAAAATACCCTATAATCTGCAACTCTTACACTGCAAAAACATATAGACTACGCAACTCGATCAGGGCAAAGCAATAGACACAATCTACATAGACTTCTGTAAAGCCTTTGATTCAGTGGTACACGACAAACTACTCCTAAAACTAAAATTTTATGGTATCTCTGGACAACTGCATAACTGGATAGAAGCAAACAGATAACACATGGTCAAAATTGGGAGCGTCATATCAAATTCTGTACCTGTCAACAGTGGTGTCCCCCAAACAGTGTTCTAGGACCAACTCTCTTCATACTCTACATAAATGACCTCTGTGATCATATTAAGAGCAACTGCGTTCTCTTCGCTGACAATGTTAAGCTATTCAACACCACAGACAATACTGCTACCCTTCAAAAAGACCTCGACTATGTATCAGAATGGTCAAGCAAATGGTAACTGCAAATCTCAACAAATAAATGCTCTGTCTTACATATTGGCAAAAAAAATCCAAAAATAAAATACAGGCTGAATAGTCAAGACCTTGTTGATGATCCAAACTCTGTAAAGGACCTTGGAATACTCATCTCTAATGATCCAAGTGCTAGAGTCCTCTGTAACTACATAGCCAAAAAGGCATTAAGAGTTGTTAATCTAATCTTACGTAGCTTTTTCTCTGATAATATTACACTACTAACTACAGCATACAAAACATTTGCTAGAACAATATTCGAATCCAGCTCATCAGTCTGGAACCCACATTACATATCTGATATTAACACAATTGAGAAAGTCCAGAAATATTTCACAAGAAGAGTTTTCCACTCCTCTACTTGTTGCAGAATACTGTATGCCACCAGACTTGAAATTCTAGACCTAGAAAACCTAGAACTACACCGCCTTCAGTCCGATCTAAGTATAGTATATAAAATCATACACTGCAATGTACTACCTGTCAATGAATACTTCAGCTTCAACCATAACAACACAAGAGCAAACAACAGATGCAAACTCAAGGTTAATCGCACCAAACTTTATTGCAGGAAATATGACTTCAGCAACAGAGTGGTCAATGTCTGGAATACTCTACCTGACTCTGTGGTTTCTTCCCCAAACTCCAAAAACTTTAACCTTAGACTTTCTACTATTGACCTCACCCCTTTCCTAAGAGGTCTGTAGGGAGCGTGCATAAGCACACCAACATGCCTACCGTCCCTGTCCTATTGTTTCTTTTAGTTTTCTTATATGTATCCATGTATTCATAACTATGTTTTTACTTATACCTATTATCTTGTAAGCAATTGACAAACCAAATTAAATAAATAAAATTCAGTTGAATGGAATGGAAACTGTGGATGAGTTGAGGGGTCCTGGAGTCTACGTTTCCTAGAATTCTCAATCTCTATAACAGTACCGTTTATAGCAACAGCATTTAGACTTAAATACTGCTTCACAGTGCTTTACCGCCCTCTCTAAGTGGTTTACAGAGTCAGCGTATTGCCCCCAACAATCTGGGTCCTCATTTTACTGACCTGGGAAGGATGGAAGACTCAATCAACCATTATAAATCTCTCTTCATTATTCTTTGTCATTCCAGACCACTATAGGGCATTCAGTTCCAAGACATACAGCAAAATGACATATACTTACCTTGGTCACAATCCCAGCTTCATGCATGAAGAGGCGGCTCAACCGTGCAGTCTTCTTGGCAATGGAGTGGGTATTTAGGCGGGCCAGACGTTCTCGCAGAGTCAGATACCCAGCCTTGTTATATTTATCTGCTGCTCTCAGTCCAAAAGAGGAGAGAAGGTGAGAAATGTAACAGAACAAGTTATAGAAGGCAGGAGGAAAAATTTCTGGGTATTTAATGATTCTTCAGTAGACGTAAGAAAAAAAATGCCATGGGAAAACATAACTCTGACATCCCAAAGGTGCTTTTTCAAGAGGCAACTGGACTTTCTGGTTTTTCTCTGAAGATGTTTCACTTCTCATCCAAGAAGCTTCTTCAGCTCGGACTGAATGGTGGGGGAT